CAGTGCATTAAGTTCAGGGCCGGCGCTTCCATTTAGGCGAGCTAGGCGGTCGCCTAGGGTGCTAGGATTTGGGAGGGTGGCATTTTGCCGCCGATGGCGGCAATTCAGTGGTGGGGGGTCCTTCCGCGCTCCGGGTCTTCGGCGGCAATTCTGCGGCGGGTCCTTCACTCGCTCCAGGACCCGCCGCCGAAGTGCCCCGAAGACCGGGAGCACGGAAGGACCCCCCTGCCGCAGAATTGCCGCCGCCAACTGGGAGCGCGGAAGGATCCCCGCCTAGGGCGCCAAAAACCCTGGCGCCGCTCCTGATTAAGTTAAGCATGCATATAATTCTTTGCCAGATGTGGGTTTAAGATTTTAAGGTCTATTACTCTGTGTTTGTACAGCATGTAACAGAATGGGGCCCAGACTTCTTTGGGATCTTTAGATACTACTGTAGTACAAAATAATAAAAAGAATATTGAAGAGTGGAGTTCACCTGAGCCCCACCCTCATGCATAATTTTGGTGACTTGCATATAATATATTCATGTCTGTTAAAGCAAAGTACTAATCTCATGCTAAACAAATTTTGCTACCAGATGCATGTATGCGAATCCCATTGAAATCATATTAATCTGAGGGTAGAGTCTAACGCTTGGGAATAAATATATTTTTAAACTAAATAACTGGCTTTTATGTATAACCTGGAATGTATAGCATATAAAGATTAGAGAGCTTTTCTTGTTGAATTTAAAAGCATTCTTTAATATCATACATATTAAGAGATAACTACCTAGCCTTAATTTCTTCATTAGCATAACTGGTAACACATTAAATTTCAGGGTACAAATATTGTGTAAATTCTCCTTTATATGATAACTGCAGACCATTAAACTCCATGAAAACTACCATAAAGTGGCAGATTAATTACAGCTCATGCCATTACAGGGTAATGACACGACTATTTCTCTTTTCTAAATGCACTCTAAGGTTACATAATATATTCTGGAACTATTATGTGTATTAATAGCACTTTGTTGTATGTACACAAATCCTTTCGGGCCTGATTCAGCAAACCTTACTCACATGTGTAGTCCCACTGATTTTAATAGAACTAGACATGTGAATAGGGTGACCAGATAGCAAGTGTGAAAAATCGGGATGGGGGTGGGCGGTAATAGGCTTCTGTATAAGAAAAAGTCCCAAAAATCGGGACTGTCCCTATAAAATCGGAACATCTGGTCACCCTACATGTGAATAAGGATAACTCATTTTAGTAAATGTTGCAGGATTGAGTCCACAAGGTGTATTTTTGAATAATGAATTTCTGTAGAATTCCAATAAGGATATTGTTTCACAAATACTTTCTGTAAAGCAAGCCGGACACTTTGAAGAAGAAAAAAACCAAAAATGTGACTCTCATAAACTACTATCTCAGTTTGGAATGGTTCAACGGTTTAATGAGGTTAATTTGTATTAGGTTGAGGGAAATCCTTTATCTACTGTATAGAGGCTTTCGTTTCACATGAATGTGACAGATATTGTACTTACTGCACTGGAACTTAATTATTTGATAGCACAAGGAACTGAAATTCCCACATTTCCTCTCTAGGAACATTCACGGTATACTTTAGATGGTAAATAGAAACTAGAGGATAGTTGCCCTAGATTTTTAATGTGTTGAAGAGACAGAGTAGCCTTTTCTGGAAGGTTTTATTTTTCTACCTCCAAAAATGGAAACAGTTTTACTAAACAGTCTCTGAAATGCTATAATTGGCATTTGGTTATTTTTTGCTCTAATCTAGTCTTCACATATCACAGCATCTTTTGAAATGCTTTTCTTTGCCATTCACAAACGTAAATGATCGTTTCATTTAGATTACTTTGGCATAAAAGCCTTGGAAAATGCTCCATTTTCTCTCTAATGACTACAAAGTAAAAAATTAGCTGTCGTGAAAAGTTTTTGTTTCAGCAGTTATTTTTTTCCTCAAAGCATTATACAACAACCTAAATCCACTAACTAGCTTGCGTTTCAGATGACTATTGGTGCATGTAGGTGATGTTTTATTTCTGCTTAGAAGGTGTAATATGGAATCTCTAGAGAGCCAGTCAAGCTGTGTAAAACTGTTAAATAGGAGAGCATAGAGGCAAACAAAATTTCAGAATCTATGAGACAAATCAGAGTACAAATAAGGACTGAAATCTAATAGAGAAAAAAAATAAGCAGGAACAAATTCACAACCTGACACTAAATTTACTTTCTTTTATAGCTTCAGTGTCAGGTTTGTTATATGAATCTCATGTCAACTCAGTTAAATGAATTTGTGTTAGTGTGTGTGGGTTTGAAATGCATAATTGCCCATTATAATAAAAATGAATGTAACTTTTCAGAACAGGTATGTGTGTCTATTCTATGTTCATGCTACATATTATATATAAGAAATATAGTGTATAAGTAATTTATTTTACTGTATACACAAAATTCTGTATTCACTATAGAACATAAAAGATTAGTTGAGAAAAATGTATATAATTATTCGAGTCAACATGTTAACATGCAATGTTAACCCATGTAAAATAATTTTCATGGTGGTTACTTTGTACCAATGGGCCTAAAAATATCTGCTTAAAAAATCTCATGGGTATTGGGATAACATGCCCCACTAACTTTCTAGAAAAGTTCAGTTAGATAGCATGAGAAGCATCCCTCTTTCTCAATTTTATTAGCAATAGTTAAAGCTTTTAAAACATAGAAAAACATTTACTCAAGTTCGATTTTTCAAAAGGTGGAACTTCTTTTGAATTTCTCACCTGATATGTCACCTTTCATAATTTGCATGACCTTGGTTTGATCAGTCACATTGTGTTATATCATTTCAGCTGTAACACTGTACAACCTGACACTGTACAATGTGATGCTAAAACTGAAATGTGTAGAGAGTGATTACAATAATCACAAGCTATTTGACTGGCTTTGTTCTAATGAAAAAACATGTGATTGCTTGAATATAATGTTCTAAGCAGTAGCTTCCATTTTGGTGACTGAGAGCCAGATTGTGGGCTACCCCTCTATGGCTGTGCATAGACAAGGGTGGCAATCAAGTGGTTGCACAGTTTACAATAGCTGTCGTTGCACTCTTGGGAGGGGAGGAATTTGCTTGTTCCTGCTCCCTCTTTCTTTCAGGAAGAAAGACTCTGAAAAGGGGTCAAAGAAGAGGTATGGTTATGGCCCTGCTTCCGCTTCTTTCCACCATGAGCATCTGCTTTGTCTTTATGGGTAGTCTCTGCTTTGTCTTTATGGGTAGTACAATCTTTTTAGTGCTCATCTTGGGTTACTGTGGCCTGGCAATGGCCCCAAGTTAAGGGTGGAAGTTTAAATTCATAGTCTAGTTTTAAGAATATAGGCTGCTGGCCAGAGAGGGTAGTGTGCTTTAGAACGGTTATAGATTCCCCATATACTGTAGCATTCGAAGAAAAAGCAAAATCAAAGCTGCTTGTAAAAGGGCCCAGTCCTGCATGGCAAGTCTCCCATTAGCGCCCCAAGTTTTGTATTTGTTTGCTTCGCCAATTCAGGTCACCTTCTGCTAACATACCAACTTTTGGAATTTGGGTAGGAAGGGGATGACAGAGTCCGCATTCTTGATAAAATTTCATAAAATATTTTGCACTTGCTACCTCTCCAGTGCCCCCTCCATGTGATTCAAATAGAGCTATCCAAGGCTGAGACAGTGTAGACCTGAGGAAAGGAAGTTTTACATAATATTTTCTAGCAGTCTCCTCAAGGTAACATCTCACAATCTCATTTGGGTACAATATAAGTCCTGTGTGTAGACAGTGACTCTCCGGTACTTTAGCAGTAGTTTTACGATCTGTCTGTGATCTGCCCTACAATTTCTAGCAGCCACTGGTTCAGCTTGCAGTCTCAGCAAGCTTTGATGAAATGAAAATGATACATAATTAGTTACTATACCTTAAATAGTTAACCTTTCCCCTAGGCAGATCTTCTCCTGGGACTGCTGTAGCCTCAGGGCTGAAGTAATTCCTGTGGCTGGTTAGCTGATCCTGAAACAAGAGAGAATGGATAGTGTGTCCGAGTAGTCATTGATCCACTGCCCCCCAACCCTGCTTTGCACTGCAAAGCAGAGAGCTCCATGACATGATGGGGGATTATATTCCATGCATAGGATTCCCAAATCCTGCCACATCTTCTTAATGGAGCTGTACCAGTTGACTAGTGAAATGAAAAAAACAAACAAAGAAAAACCAGGACATTTCAAGTGACTTAAAGGAAGATCCTGGGACATCATATAAAAAACTGGATCTGTCTGGGGACATGTGGTTATCTTTATTTATAATGTATGCATTCCAAAATATATATTCGTGCTGCTATTTTAATGTTGAAGCACTTTCTTTTCGGAGTGTCGCCCTAAGAAAATACAGGCGAGTCTTATCTTACGCTGGGGTTATGTGCCGCTGTCAGCGCATAAAGCGAAAATCGTGTATAGTCAAAATTACATTGAGTGTAATGGCGGTCGGAATCACCCGCACTACAGGTACAGTATTTAAATGGTTATTTTTCTCTTTTTTTGTTGTTTTGTTTTTGTTTTTGCCGACAGCACAAAGCTGAATTCGTGCATGTTAAATGCGCGTAAGATGAGACTCGCCTGTATATTATATTAGGTTTATACGGAGTTGCAGGTGTCTATGCTATTCTGAAAATATATATTTTTTCTATGATGCTTTTTCAGTGCTTCTACATTTTGTTCCCCTGAAATGGTGCAATGTGCATTCTTCTCTAATTGTTCTTATTTCACCAAGCATTTTCTGTCCGAGGCAGTTATGCTATGTTTAGAAAAGAAATCAGCTTTGCATACAGAGTTGATGTTATTGGAATTTTAATTGTGTGTATTGCAGATCCCTTTATAGAGCTAAATGTAACATATTTCTAATAAAAACAAATGCTGTACCATGCTACCGAGCAATGTTATCACCATCATCACCTTCTTCTTTTTGTTTGCACAGCTCACCATGTTAAAACTGGAACCTGTGAGGTGGTGGCTCTCCACAGATGTTGTAATAAGAACAAGATAGAAGAAAGGTCACAGACAGTCAAGTGCTCCTGCTTTCCTGGGCAGGTAGCGGGTACCACCAGAGCAGCTCCTTCTTGTGTTGATGGTGCGATGACTTCTCTTACTTCATTTTCTTGTATTTTTGCTAGTGAGTTTTGTAATGCTTAGTGTCAAAAGTAGGAATCTTTCTTTTAAACCGAGCAGTGTTTAAAAGTGTTAGAAAGGATTCTGAGGTTTGAAGGGTGTCTCCAAGATGAATGGGAGAGGAGAATACGAAAAATGAATTATTTGCTATTGCTTTATGGAAACACTATCATTAGATGACAGTGAAACAGACCTCTTGAGAATCAAAATGTGATCTAAATAATAGAATGCTCTTAGTGTTGTATCAAGTTAATTTAATTAAAAGTGTTTATGCATAAGTTACATCAGCATATTATTTTCATATGCTGCAGTCTCATACTTTATTTATCTGTTACTTTGCCACAAAGCAAGGAAAAACAAACAAGCAGAGCATAGTTTACTCGTTTTTAGGCTTTTTAGACCAATGTTGTTTTTGCTATCCATAGTGCAATCTTAATACTGCAAACAAAACTGGCATAAAATAGGTTTTATTTGGGAAAATATTGGCTCATTTTGCACAACTCTTTCTCTGAAAAAGGACAAGGCTGTTTCACCCTTTACACAAATTATTTTTTCTGTGTTTGCTGTCATAGAAGCTGTATGTATGTCATCTTCAGGGAATACATTTAATCTTACCTTGAATGTACAGAACTTCAAACACAATACATTAACTCAAAAGAAGAGATTATGCCAAAAACTTAGACATCTGACCAGGAAAGAAGAATTGGTGATTGAAATTTGTTCTTGAAGCAAGATAAATTTAAACAGATGTAACTAATGTAGAAAAAAATAGTAATAACAATAATAATTAAGAAGAGATGCTGGTGCCAAATTCATACACAGTGCCCTTGACAAATAGAGTCTTATTTATTTAGGAAGATTCTGACTTGCAGTGTAGTTGTTGGTCAATATACTTTTTTCTAAAAATTTTGTGGAGAATAAAATTGATGCTGCCATATAATAGGGGATGTAAAGTGGCCATTTACTGAACATGTAAATGTGTATGTTTCCCCCTCTCATAGCTTCAATAGTGGAACAGAAATGGTGGTGCCACATGCAACCATGTCTTGAAGGGGAGGAATGTAAAGTTCTTCCAGATCGGAAAGGATGGAGCTGTTCCTCTGGGAATAAAGTGAAAACAACTAGGGTAGGTATAAATATTTTATTAAAGTTAATGTTTAAAATTAAGTATACACAAGTTAAGAGGGAAGGTACTGTACATCTGGGGTCAGGCTTGAGTTATGAGGGATTACAGGTATCGGTTGCAAGGATGAAGAGATACATACATGTCACATAACCAGCATAGACCCAGATTGGGGTGCAAGAGTTTTTAAAGTGTCAGTGGATAAGTGGTCTCGGGTATGACACCCATGGAATGTATAAGGAGTCCAAGTCAGTATCGGTGTAGCGAATAAGTACACCAGCATCACTTGTTACCAACAGAAAACTAACACACAGGCCCTAAGTAAACACTCAAAAGAAAAGAGCCTGGAAGAGTAATGAGCTGTGGGTAGGCAGTTTTATTGAGGTTGGGTTTCCTGACTCTGTACACTTCCATCAGCATACTTTGCAGTTGATCGATCATAGTGTGCACTGTTCCTGTCATTTTCAGGTCTGGGCATTGCAGAGAAGAGAATAAACCCCCTCTCAGCTGCTACTACTAATAATTTATATTTTATTTGATCTGTTTGTCCCTCTATGACTGGTTGCAACAACAAAAAAAAAAAGCCAGCACACCCTGCTAATCTCCTTGCAATGTTCCAAATCCTATTGATTTACAAGGTATAAAATAAATGCACTTTTGTCAATTGCTTGGAATTATCATATCTCTACACAGAAACTGTTGAATATGGTAAGCATTTACTGTGTCATTACAGAATAATCTTCTGGTTATTTATGTCTTGTAAGACTGAGAATTACTACAAAATTTTGACAGTGGTGCAATATGTTCCCTTTCCCATTTGACACTTATTATGTTATTTGTTCAAAATTGCATTAGTAGGAATCCATCTAACATTTTGTTTTACATGATTCTTTGAAAACAAAGTAAACCTGTGCTTTCTAATTGCTAACACAAGCAAAAGAATAACAAATTACCTAGATAATACTAAGCATTATATGCTCAGACTTCCAGAAACCACAGCTTCAAATCCCTGCATATTCAATTCAAGTTTTCATTCCTGTGAGGCAAATTAAGGATCCAGCCAGCAAACGCACACACAAGTAAATCTTATGTGAGTAGCAATGGTTAAAGTTAGTCACATGAATAATTGTTTGCAGGATTGATTCATAACTGGCTACCATGAACTTTACTTTGTGTATGTGACACAGAACAAAATATTTCCCCTCCCTTCACTGTACTGTAGTGTCCTATTTATCGACTGGCTATCTCCTGTCTATCCCAGAGGTGGCTGAATGGTGTCTGTATGTCTGAGTTTGTAAAAGCACTTGGACATTCTTTGGATGAAAGGTACTTCATTAGTGTAAGTTATTCCATTCTTCCTTCTTAAATCCTTTTTCAAAACACTAATCTCTGCTTGAGTACTGCCCCCAGCTAACTGTGTGTGTATGTATATATGTAAGGTGTGCACACATACTCACTCTATATAAGTATTATGTATGTTGTGTATGTGTGTGAGATATATCCAGTTAGAGGAAGATGATTTAACAACAGTAACTAACTGCAAATGGAAAAGAAATTGGGAAAAAATGTGACTAGTTCATGTCCCTCTCTCCTCTTCTTTTGGCATTTGGCTTCTTCCCCTTACCCTCCTACCATGTTGTTTTGCTCTATTTACATGTGAATTGTCTAAACTAGATAAGATTTCTGGCCAGGGATTTTCCTCCTTATATATTTGTAAAGTACCATGCACTATATTGTCCAACTACTACAAGGTTAGGTATAAATGTTGGTATTTGTACAATTATGTCATTTTGGCAATATTTTTAGTAATATAAGCTCATTGTTAGCACTTAACAAACAATAAGTAATAGGTGGCTGGATCATATTCTCCCGCTCCCCAGACACTTTTAAACCATTCTAGAGGTCCCAGGCTCTATTCATCATCATGCTAAGACCTACAGGTCCATTGCAATGGATGCTTCAGTCTCATTTCAACTTGTGGGTAGAACCACACCTGTTAGCCTGTGGCAGCAGGGGATTTCCTGCCTCTTGAAGTTCCCTCCAGTTTTACCTGCCTCACCAGTGGCTCAGCCAGACCCCTCTCCCCTTCTGCAGAGCTGTTCTGAGGGAAATCCCACACTTTATTTCAAGTTTGCAACTAACAATTGGCTATCTGGGCTCTGAAGGATTGATCCTGCCTCTCTATATACATAGAATGTCACAGGGTTGGAAGGGACCTCAGGAGGTCATCTAGTCCAACCCCCTGCTCAAAGCAGGACCAATCCCCAACTAAATCCCTAAATGGCCCCCTCAAGGATTGAGCTCACAACCCTGGGTTTAGCAGGCCAGTGGTCAAACCACTGAGCTATCCCTCCTGAATCTTCAGTAGCCTTGATTTTGAGAAGCCCTGGAATACCTATGCTGCTATTAGGAGGCTGAATGTCTTCTTTGTCTTAAGAAAGTACCCTGTTATCAAAAGTGAGTACTCATCCCTAATGGAGGCTGCAGTGTGTATGTAGCTCTTGCCTATAGTAAAAGATTCTAAGTGAAAGGAAAAATTCTGAAGTGTTTGAACCAATAAACTACATATTCAGAGAAAAATAATACAGACAGCAAAGAATCAGTATTAAGAGAACAAATATAATAAGCTTTTATTATTGTCAAATGAAGTAGCCCATTTGTAATGGCCATGTATAATGTAAAAGCAACGGGAGCCAAAGGGAGCTAGCAAGTTTGTGTGATTTAAACACACAGCAACTTCTGTGAAAGCCTCGCTAAAAGCAATATAATGCATTAGGTCTCAATTCACCTCTAAACACTGGGTTAAATTTTCCTCTTCAATAATACATGTGAAAATCGTAGTTAGATTGTAGCTTCATAAACGCTTGCAAAGTAACCCTCTTCCACAAAGGTATTTGATTTCAAAACAGCACCTGGATTTCCAGACCCCAGGATGTCAGTAATGGAGTATTATGTTAGGGAATGGAGGCAGCCTCTGGAGGAGGTGGGTTTTTTTGCCCAATTCTGGTAACACAGATGGTTGTGGTATTTGTCACTAGGGAAAGGATGCGGGTGAATAATGGGAGAAGACTAATTGATTTTTCTAAAATGTGACCTGGTTGAAGTGTTGTATGTTGTTCAGAGATTAAGAAGAATATGCATGAATAATGAATTAGGAATAGCATGAATATTCTGGTACTTAGAATTCAAATCTTAAGGATACTCTGGTAGATATTATTTACACTAAGAATACAGAAATAGGCATTATGGAACCATGTTGTAATGAAATCACAGTCCCTACAATGTCAGGGTACGGCTAACAGATGAGAGGGCTAATGGGTTAATAAGGATTAATCAGAGAGAAGCAGTAAATGTGGAGAGGAAGAGTTTAGGGGTCTGAACTTATCTCTGATTAACATTTTTTACTCTGTTGGAGTTTATATTTGGAAGGGTAGAATTTCTGCCTCTGTATTTAGAGAGGTCTGAGGAGAAAATTGCTATTCTGGCTAAAATAATGATTTATTTTTAGGCAGTGATATTGTAGTGTATGCCTGCCTAGGCAATGCACTGGAACTGGACAGGGTGTTTAGAAATAGATTATTAAGCCTATGAAATAAAGATAGCTCAGAGATTTTTCAGAGACGTCATAGGGTCCAGGATGCAGTGCTAGGATTGTGTTAAGGTACAGATAGTTGACATTTTTTTACGTGAAGTTTCATTTTATTTGTTTTCACTTTTTCCTATTTGTTGACAAAAAAGAAATATATTTTTTTCAAAACAATAAACATTTGCATTTCATTTTGAAATATTTTGTTTATAATTTCTTGTCTCCCCTTTCTTTTTCTCAACTTTTTAATTTTTTTCCACTGGAAAGGAAGAAAAAATAAAGCAAGGAAAGCAACACTTCCCTTCACCTTTCAACACTTAAAAAAGCTTCCCCTACCTCCCCAGTGGGGGGTGCGGGAAGGGGAGAGAGGTTTGAAAAAATGAGTGTGAGAGAATTTCCTCTCTAGTCAGAAAACCAAAAAATGTATTTAAATAATTTTTTTTGGTGGAAATTTTTCAGTTTCAATGAAACCCCATTTTCCAAGACAAAAGCTTTAGCTGAAAAAAAACTTTGACTAGTTTTAGTTAGGAATTTAATCTGACAAAGAAAATCAGCGAGAGGCAAGATTGTTGTCTTACAGTTGGAGAGAGGTGTCTTTGAATTGATTTTGAGTGCTTGGGGTTCAAAAAAGAGAGCGCTTCTAAGAAGGACCAGGGGACTTCTAGTGTTCATCAGACTTATAGAGACTTTGACAGGGGACAACCTCATCAAATATGTGAGCACAGGGGTAGGACTACTAGAAGAGTTATTGTTAGCCTGAGGCTCACTTAATATGGTATAATTATGTTAGAGTGAGTTTGTTTCCTCTATCACTCAGAAAGTATTAAGGACACGTTTGTGTTCACTATTATTTCTTGTGTTTTCTGATGTATCATGTTGTTCCCTATTTTACTTCATAAGTAGTATTTTGATTTCCCTCCCACTCCATTTCTTTCCTTCTTCCTTAGATTTTGCTCTGAGTGTATATAATTAAATTCCTCTTTTGTTTCATCCAATTATTGTGACCTATTCCATTTGGCTAAAAGTGAGTAAAAAGTTATTGAACAATAAAGGAGATCAAAGTGTTTCCATTCTGCCATAAACAACTTGAAACTGAAAAGAGTAGGTGTTGATACCATAAGATATTTTTCTAAGGAACTGCATTGCTAAGGATGGTTTCTACTACCAAGAAGATGTCCCTGACAAATTAAGGTTATCAATAACTTTTCATTATCTTGCAAAGATGTACCTAATTTTAAAAAGGGAAATATGAGTGTACAGATGCATGCTGATGCACAGTTGCACAGAGAATGAGATGCACGTGCCTTATCTTCATTCGTGTGCACATCTGAAGATATTTTTATTAGATCTGGGTCAAAATTAAAACCATGGATCTGAACACCCAGAACCTCAGGGGGATTTGACTTCTGAACTCGTATATTAATGGGCTGTAGCAGAACCTTTGTACTATAGGATGTTCCAGAACTCTATCTGGGTGCAAATTATGCATTTGCACTGTGCTGTGGCTTTTTGATGTGTGCATTTTTTCAGCATATAAAAATAGGTGAAGATTGGGAAGAAATTCAAAATAGTCACATAGAATCATAGAACTAGAAGAGACCTCGAGAGGTCATCTTGTCCAGTCCTCTGCAGTCATGGCAGACCATTCCTAGGTGTTGGTCTAACCTGCTCTTAAAAATCTCCAATGATGGAGATTCCACAACCTCCCTAGGCAATTTATTCCAGGGCTTAACCACCCTGACAGGAAGTTTTTCCTAATGTCTAAACCTCCTTTGCTGCAATTTAAGCCTATTGCTTCTTGTCCTATCCTCAGAGGTTAACGAGAACAATTCTTCTCCCTTCTCCTTGTAATAACCTTTTATGTACTTGAAAACTATTATCATGTCCCCTCTCAGTCTTCTCTTTTCTAGACTAAACAAACTCAATGTTTTCAATCTTCCCTCATAGGTCATGTTTTCTAGACCTTTAATCATTTTTGTTGCTCTTCTCTGGACTTTCTCCAATTTGTCCACATCTTTCCTGAAATGTGGCACCAAAAACTGGACACAATACTCCAGTTGAGGCCTAATCAGCGTGAAGTAGAGCTGAAGAATTACCGTACTTCTCGTGTCTTGCTTACAACACTCCTGCTAATACATCCCAGAATTATGTTCACTTTTTTTGCAACAGTGTTACACTGATGACTCATATTTAGCTAGTGATCCACTATCACCCCCCAGATCTCTTTCAGCTATACTCCTTCCTAGGCAGTCATTTCCCATTTTGTATGTGTGCAACTGATTGTTCCTAAGTGGAATACTTTGCATTTGTCCTTATTGAATTTCATTCTATTTACTTCAGACCATTTCTGCAGTTTGTCCAGATCATTTTGAATTTTAATCCTATCTTCCAGAGCAAAATTCCAAGAATACCATCCAACAGTAACTTCCAACCACTGTACGTCATTTTGAAAGTGACTTGTAGGTGTGAAATTATGTTTTTAAATTTGAAAAGTATCTAAATTC